CACAATTATACCATTTCACTTTTTAGTTTTTTCTTCATGGTTACCGGACTTTTTTTAATTTAATTTTTGTAATTAATGCTGAATTTTACTGTGGACATTAATGGGTTAATCTAATTTTAGAGAATAAATTATTCACAATTCCTAATATGTTATTTTTAATCTATATCAACCATAACGTAATTAAAAGAGTTAGTGAAAAATACGACATTTTATTTACTATTCAGAATATTGTTTTAAAATTTGAATTCCTCTGGGCACACATTGAGAGCTAGGAACTGTCATAGAACGTCTGTTAAAGGAAGGCGAAAATGCTGCAGACATTGACAGGTGGGAGATACGATATTAATAACAATATTCTTGGAGAGTAAGCAAAGAAATTTAAGCCATAAATATAGCTTACTCTAAAACTATATTTTATCATATATATATATATATATATATATATATATATATATATATATGTGTGTGTGTGTGTGTGTGTGTGTGTGTGTGTGAAAATATATTTACTATATCAGCCACTGAGAGTCCGAGTACTAATATGACATACATTGGGTCCACGAAGAATGATTTTAAAGCTAGATGGAGGCAGCATAAGTGCTCTTTCAACAATATAAATTAAAGAAACCAGACTTCCCTATCTAAATATTTTTGGCATCTGAAGGAAATAAATAGGACACCTAAAGTAAAATGGAAAATTATAAACAGGATTAGAACATGTAAAACTTGGGATGGCCCATGCCCTTTGTGCCTCCATGAGAAGCTGCATATTATTAAGTTTCTAAATAATAATAATCTATTAAACAATAGACAACGGTTTTCTGTCGACATCATCAAATCTATGGTTTGAATGATTAGCTAAAAACAAGCATACAATATAATAACTTTTATAATCCATAGCCAAAATAAATAGTTTAAATACCCTACAAAAAGATAACCCTTTATGAAGTCGTCAAAAAACAAAAGTTACGGCAGTTTTTATATGCACAAATCCCTTTCATAAAATAAAAAATAAATAAATCTCCATAGACACGTAAGCCAGACTAGGCTAAAACATCTTCCGTTTCAAATTTAGACACCCCCACCTTACCCTGACTTGACATCTATGAAAGTAACTCTATACTGATACCTATTATTAACACCCAACACACGCCTACCCAATTTAAACAATTCGCCCTAGCTGTTACCATGGAAATTTTGATTTCAATTATTAAAACACGTACATTTCTGAAATAAGTTCCTCCAAAAAAAATTTCGCTTGAAGATGGAACAGATCTTTCTTTAACTCAATTTAATTCCAAAAATTGTATTGTAGTTTTCGGCTCTTGTTTTGAAACATGAAACCTCTTATGTCGCGAGTTGGAATCATATTTTAAATAAATATAAATATATATATATATATATATATATATATATATATATATATATATATAGTTTATGCAAAACTAGGTAATCCGTATGGGTAGACCCAAGGAGGATGATATCCAGAGAGCTTAATGTAAATTTAGAGCAGATATGTTTGAATAAAATATGTTGGTCCGTCAAAAATGTGTGAATTTCTTTTCATTTTTCATTTCAGCCTTTGGAAGTAAAGTCTGATGATCCAGAACCCTGTTAAAGGGTTTATGGTGAAATAACTTATTACATGGAACCATAAAATGGTCTATTTTATTCAAACATATATATATATATATATATATATATATATATATATATATATATATATATCATATTTATATTACATTCAATCATATGAATCATACAAAAAAACAGATATAAAGTTAATTATATAAATGACGAGAATACATCTCAAACATTAACCTGAACCTGTAGATGAATGTTATGAATGCAACTGGAATTTATAAACAGGGATCATAACATTCATCTACAGGTTAGGGGTTAATGTACTTTATTAAATTTGTTTGCGAAGATGTATTCTCGCCATTTATATCATTAACTTCTACATCTGTTTTTTGTATGAATGATTCATGTAATATATATATATATATATATATATATATATATATATATATATATATATATACAGATACACACACACACACACACACACACACATATATATATATATATATATATATATATATATATATATATATATATATATATATAAATGAAATGAGAAAAAGATAGAAAGATAGCGTAGATCTGACATTTAATTGGTTAATCAAGACATAACCACAAGTCTAATTTTAATTCTGACTTTATATCCCCAAAAGAAAAAGTTAAGAATTTCTTTTTAAATTTCCTTAAAAATCATTTAATCACCAGTTACTTACCATCGCCTGATGAAATACAATCAACAGTATATTTGGACAGCAAAACAAGTTTGATTAAACAGTACTGATAAATTTTATTTTTTATTATACTTTTTCAACTTTCGGATAAGATGTTGAGCATTATATCCGAATTTGTGGATAAGCTGCCTGAAGTTTATATTTTGTTCAAATCCTTTCGACTTTCCAGTGATTATCAGGAACCGATGTGATGTCTATGAGGTAGTATTAACTCCTTTGTCTGTATCGTGGCATTCATTAAGAAGATGGACGTGTGATATTTGCTCTAACATGACGTCATCTGTAACTGTTATTGGGAACGAGGCTGTATAAAAAGAATGCTATTTATCTATTTTATTTTATTTTGGCAGCAAATTAATTTTTTTATTTATTATTATACTTTTCTAACTTTCGGATGTTGAGCATTATATCCGAATTTGTGGATAAACCGCCTGAAGTTTATATTTTGTTCAAATCCTTTCGACTTTCCAGTGATTATCAGGAACCGATGTGATGTCTATGAGGTAGTATTAACTCCTTTGTCTGTATCGTGGCATTCATTAAGAAGATGGATGTGATATTTGCTCTAACATGACGTCATCTGTAACTGTTATTGGGAACGAGGCTGTATAAAAAGAATGCTATTTATCTATTTTATTTTATTTTGGCAGCAAATTAATTTTTTATTTATTATTATACTTTTTCTAACTTTCGGATGTTGGGCAATTATATCCTGAATTTATATTTTGTTCTAAACTTTCCAGTGATTATCCCGAATGTTTAGTATTAACTTTTGTCAAATCGTGGCATCGACTTTCCAACATGACGTGATTATCAGGAACCGATGTGAAAGAATGTCTTTATCTATTTTATTTTATTTTGAGGTAGTATTTTTTTATTATTATACTTTTTCAACTCCTTTGTCTGTATCCGAATTTGTGGATAAACCGCCTGAAGTTCATTAAATCCTTTCGACTTTTCCAGTGATTATCAGGATGTGTCTATGATAGTATTAACTTAACATTAAGAAGATGGATGTGTGATATTTGCTCTAACATGACGTCATCTGTAACTGTTATTGGGAACGAGGCTGTATAAAAAGTATGCTATTTATCTATTTTATTTTATTTTTGGCAGCAAATTAATTTTTTTTATTTATTATTATACTTTTCTAACTTTCGGATGTTGGGCATTATATCCGAATTTGTGGATAAGCCGCCTGAAGTTTATATTTTGTTCAAATCCTTTCGACTTTCCAGTGATTATCAGGAACCGATGTGATGTCTATGAGGTAGTATTAACTCCTTTGTCTGTATCGTGGCATTCATTAAGAAGATGGACGTGTGATATTTGCTCTAACATGACGTCATCTGTAACTGTTATTGGGAACGAGGCTGTATAAAAGAATGCTATTTATCTATTTTATTTTATTTTGGCAGCAAATTAATTTTTTTATTTATTATTATACTTTTCTAACTTTCGGATGTTGGGCATTATATCCGAATTTGTTGATAAGCTGCCTGAAGTTTATATTTTGTTCAAATCCTTTCGACTTTCCAGTGATTATCAGGAACCGATGTGATGTCTATGAGGTAGTATTAACTCCTTTGTCTGTATCGTGGCATTCATTAAGAAGATGGACGTGTGATATTTGCTCTAACATGACGTCATCTGTAACTGTTATTGGGAACGAGGCTGTATAAAAAGAATGCTATTTATCTATTTTATTTTATTTTGGCAGCAAATTAATTTTTTTATTTATTATTATACTTTTCTAACTTTCGGATGTTGGGCATTATATCCGAATTTGTTGATAAGCTGCCTGAAGTTTATATTTTGTTCAAATCCTTTCGACTTTCCAGTGATTATCAGGAACCGATGTGATGTCTATGAGGTAACTCCCTTTGTATTAACTCCTTTGTCTGTATCGTAACATTCATTAAAAAAGATGGACGTTTGATATTTGCTCTTAATTATTATACTTTTTCATGATGTCATCTTTGTATAAAACTGTTATTTCGACTTTCCAGTGAACGATGTGGCTGTATAAAAACATGACGTCATCTGTAACTGTTATTATAAAAAGTATGCTATATATTTATGGGAAATATTCATAATTTTAATTGTCTGTTTTGAAGATAGGTTTTCTTAGCTAGGAACATTCGCCAATCTGAACCTTAGAAACTTTTTGGCTCTACTGGCGGAAGTTTTTAAATATAAACAAGAAATTTGCTATCGCAACTTGAAAAGAAAAAATAACCTAGAGATACAGAGAAATAAATAAGTTAACTTAATATATAAATAGAAATTTTAAAATGTGACAATTTAGTACGCAAGGAAAACATAAAAAAGAAAGAAATTATTCGGACATTGAATAGAAGACAAATGACAGCACACAATAATGAACAGACAGAGGAAAGGAAAGTCGATAAAAAAAGCCATGCAATGACGCCACCTGCTGTGCTTGTTCTTTTTGGTCAGCCTAACAAATACAAATCAAAGAGAAATGTTTTGACTGCTTGCAAAATGGAAGTCCAGTCTCGACTGGCAACATGGCGGTTCGACTGACTTTTTGTCTTGTTGGCTAAAAATTAGCAGCGAACGGTTTTATTTCATCTCAACGCCGTAGCTGCAACGTCACCAATTTATTCTCATCTGGCTTGTCGGTTTTACATATTGTTAATCGATGGTTGACCAGATGGTACGTGGATGTACATTCATTCTTTTTTTTTTGGGGGTGGTCTTCTTCTTCTACTTCTTTTCTTCTTTTTCTTCTCCTTTTTCTTCTTTTTCTTCTCATCCTCTTCCTTCTTTTCCTTTTTCTCCTCCCCTTTTTTCTTCTTTTTCTCATCCTTCTTTTTTCTTCTTCTTCGTTTTCTACTCCTCCTTTTTTTCTTCTTCTTCTTCTCTTGCTTTTTCGCCTTCTTCTCCTCTTCCTCTTTCTTTTTCTCCTCCTTCTTCTCGTCCCCTCCTTTACCACCTCCACCTCCTTCTTCTTTTTCTTGTTTCCCTCCTCCTCCTCCTCCTTCTTCTTCTTCTTCGCCTTCTGATCCTCCTCCTTCTCCTTTTACTCCTTCCTCTCGTCGTCATCCTTCTTTTTCTTTTTCTTCTTCTCGTCCTCTTCATTCCTCTTCTTCTTCTTCTTCTAATCCCCCTTCTCCCTCTTCTTTTACTACTACTACTATTTCACTCCATACTCCTCCTCTTTTGTTCTTTTCTACTTAAACTCTTTCTCCTTCTTCGACTACTTAAACTCGTTCTTACTCCTCATCGCACTCCGCTTAATGCCCTCCCTTCCACTCCCTCTTAATTTTTAACCTCCCCCTCTTCTTTTCCTTAACACTCTCCTTAGCTTACTCTTCTTCCTTCTTTCCCACTCTTCTTCTGTTTTCCCTCTCCTAAGCCTCCTCCTCCTTCATCTTCTTCTTTTTCTTCTTCTTCTCCATCGTCGTTGTCATTAGTTGTCTCTTTGTTATATCTAACGTGTTATTTCGATTTTAGATGATTAATATTCCACGGCGTAGGGGTGTGCAGAAGGTGTGGACGAAAGGAGAATTTAGAGAGTCGGGTTCCAGTTCTGTTCAATTCACTTCCGAGTAAATACCCTTGGGAAAGCTTTAAATCAATCCTCTCTCCCTACCATGGGTTAAATATTAGGACATGTATCTGGAAAAAAAATCATTGTCATTCTCAAAAGATTGTTAATACATTATTCAATCGCAAAAATTTATTCCTACAATCAAAAATATTTCCCGACTTCATCACCGAACTGTAGAGTATAAACATCATTATATTAGAAAATGAGTTTATTTCATATAGATAGTTAAATAGGGATTAGTCCTCAATCACCCTTCTCTTAACTCAGTTTAAAGTGTTATCCTCTCCTGCCAAATAACTTGACGTTCTGCATAGAACTGAAGCTCAGCTATGTGATATGAATCTAGCTCCGTCCACGGTTTTCGCTCTCATCTCCAAACCAGATACCCAGAAAGCATGTCGATTCGATAATATGATTGGAATTATTTTACAGACCATCTGTTCTATATATTAACAAAAGTGGCGGAAAAATGAACAAAAATACAAAAAAAAATTCCAGATAGGTTTTATTTTTTAACTATGAAGACGCGAGTATAAACTGGTCACAGTTTACCTATTAAGACTCACATATAGACTGATCACTATTTACATATAAAGACTCGAGTATAAACTGAACATTGTTTACCTGTAAAGTCTCAAGTATAAATCAACCATTGTTTCCCGATAAAGAAATCATTTTTAACTCTAAAGGTTCGAATAGAAACTGACATATAAAGACTCAAGTACAAACCTAAAATCAAAAGTATATATATATATATATATATATATATATATATATATATATATGTGTGTGTGTGTGTGTGTGTGTGTGTGTGTGTGTGTGTAAAATAAGCCCGAAAAATGGTTTGTCAACATAGAGTCAAATATTAATCTGATGTTGACATGCTAACCTGTTCTGTTCTATACTAAAAGCCGGTTATATATATATATATATATATATATATATATATATATATATATATATATATATATAGATGGATAGATAGATAGATAGATAGATTGGTGAAAAAAGTTATTAGTCTATGACAAAGTGTAAAAGCATTTTCCTGTGACGCGTTTGTAATTATTTTACAGATCATCTGTTATCACAATGTGAGATATCTAATAATAAAAGTGGCGGAAACATGAACAAAAAACAAAAAGAATCTAAATGAAATAGGTTGTACTCAGTAGAAATTCTCAGCGCCTCTCTTTCGTTCGTGCGCATGTGCAGTCACATCAACGTAACTGTAAACTGATTTCGATGAAGTCTTAAAGGACGAACGCGTCAGCGGAAATGTTCTTCCGTTTTGTTATAGCCTAATATCTTTTCCACTAATATATATATATATATATATATATATATATATATATATATATATATATATATATATTTATAAATTAATTGATTTAAAATATGGTTTTTTTCGCTTTTCTAACCATGTTTCAAAAAAAATGGAAGTCTAAAAGTCTCCGAATTTAATTTTGTAATTAAATTAAAGACATTAGTTCCATTTCATCCTCAAGCGAATTTTGGAGTAACTTTTAAAATTACTGGGTTTTAAATACACAGCTAAAACAAAATTCATGTTTCCAAGGTTACAGATAAATCTTTTTTTCTAGACAGGGGTGTCTAGGTGTTCAATATGTCTAGATTTTAATGTATCAGTTATTGCAACTTTTGGTAGTGGGTAGGGATGTATTTTTCAATGAAATCTAACATCCGTTAAAAACGTGTCGTCTGGATTTTTTAAAAAAATTATATTGTTAACGGCTAACATTTCTTACAACATTTTTTTCTTCGTATATTTAAAGATTTTTTTGAGCGGTGTTTAGGTAAGAATACTTTTTACTTAACTACGATTTAAAATATTTTTACTTTTAATTTTATTATACTATAATTCTTTCAAGAACAATTTAAATGTAGTTAGAAGCCTTTACAATTTGTAGAATTATTGTCACATCGTGTATATTACGATTTTAAAAATTTTATATTTAAATATTACTAAAGTAAAATTTTCATTTTCCTGATTTAGTAAACATTATTTAATTAATTACAGTTTAAAAGAAGTTTAGGTTAGAATTCATTTTAATGTACTACAATTTTAATTACAACTTTAAAATATTTTCATTAGTAGTTTTTATAGACTATATTTCATTTAATAGAAGTAAATAGAGTTAATTACAGTCAGTAAAATTATTTTTCTATATAAAGTTTATTTATATTACGATTTTTAAAAAAAAATTTATATTTAAATATTTTTAAATAAATTTTTTTCTTACAGCAAAAAAAAGCTAATTCATTTCTCTGATTTAGTAAACTTTATTTATTTATTTAATTCCAATTTAAAAGAAGTTTAGGTTAGAATTCATTTTAATTAACTACAATTTTAATTACAACTTTAAAATATTTTCATTATTATTTTTATAGACTATATTTCATTTAATAGAAGTAAATGGTATAGGGTTACTTACATTCAGTAAAATTATTTTTCTACATCAAGTATATTTATATTACAATTTTTAAAAAATTTTATATTTAAATATTTTTTAAGTGAAATTTTTTCTTTACAACAAAAATAGCTAATTTATTAAACTTTATTTATTTATTTAATTACAATTTAAAAGATGTTTAGGTTAGAATTCATTTTAATTAATTATAATTTTAATTACAACTTTAAAATATTTTCATTATAAGTTTTTTAGACTATATTTCATTTAATAGAAGTAAATGTATTATAATTACTTTTTTTTAAAGAAAAAACAGTAAATGTAATGGAATTACTTACAGTATATAAAATTAATATTTCATGTTAAATATATATATGCATATTACATGATCCTATTTTATAAATTTATTTTTATTTTTTAAATATTATTTAAGGAAAATTTTTGACAATGACGGCATAAAATAGCTATTTCATTTCTCTGATTCAGTAAATTTTTATATTTTATAAACTTAGTAATATATAGTTTCTCATGTATGCACAAAGGACATGGGTCATTTAATGACCTACATATTCTAGCTTTTCTTATTAACTTCCATTTTACTGTAGGTGTTTTATTTGATTCTTTTAGGTGCCAGAAGTATTTCGATAGAGATGTCTGATTTTTATATTTATTTATCCTAAATGAACTTTGATGTTGGTTGAATCTTTTTTTGAACTCGTGTTTAGTACAACCTATATATATATTTATGTTTTCAGGACTTTCAATCGAAGCGATATTGCATTGGTATACTAATGATTCAGTACAACGTTTATTTTGTAGAGGGCAGTTTTGAGGGTTTCGACGGTTACATAATTTTTGTTTATTTTCATCAGTTTTTATTTTTATTTTGACATTGTCTAAATTTTTTGGGTTTTGGTATAAGTGTTTATTTAAGATATTAGCATTATGGTTCTTAATTTTTTCTAAGTTTTCCGTACAGCTGTAACTCAATTTTAGTGTGTTTTTATTGAAAATAGTACTTAGTTTACTTTCACTAGGAAAATGCTTGACTATTAATGTGAGGAATTTTTGTCCTAATTTGTTCTTTACCATTTGGTTGTATGGGGGCTTATACCAAATTATTTTTCTACATCTGTTTTTACTATGTTTTTCATTTTCATTTTTTATATAAGTTAGATTTAGGTTTTTGTAGCCACTTAATTTTAGAGCCTTATTATAGGAATTAATATGCTCATCGAAAATCTTGTCATTTGCTGAATTAGTACTTATTCGTTTACTGATAGATAACGGTATATGTTTAATTATAGTTGGGGGGTGATTTGATTTAGGGTGTATATATAAAGGATTGGTGTTGGGTTTTTTATAAGGTGTGTATGTATTTTTATTTAGATCTAATGTTATATATACGAAGTTTATTTTTTTTTTAATTTAGTGCTAACCGTAATTTTTAAGCCCATGCTTTTAAATTCTTTATATAATAACTTTCTAATTCTATCTATTTTGAAGTTAGTTGAGTTTCTAATTACCATAAGGCCATCGTCTCTGTACAAACCAATGTCAGTTATATTAATATCACGGTGCGCTGTAAGGTTGTATAATATAAAAAGACCAATGAGATCAGAAGACTCAGCTGAGTCTAATGATCCCATTGTGATGTCGAAGTGGTCATATGAATTCTTAATCCATTGCTCACATTTATGTATAAGTACCTATTTTTTCGCATATAGAATAATGTTCTTTTCTTCATCTGTAATATCTGTATAGTGGGTGGCAAAATCCAACGCATTCAAAAATAGTTCGTTAGATATTGATTGGTAATAATTCTTTCTTTATATATATATATATATATATATATATATATATAAAGGACTAGCAGTAGAGCCCGGCGTTGCCCGGGGATGTAACAGTAAGAGATAGATCAAGTATTGACCATCATAAAGACTAAAAAATAAAATTGACAAAGATTATTGTTTAAGGTTGACGGACACGCATGTCTTAATTAGTTTTTTTTATGAATTGGTCAAACCCAAATTAAAACAAAAACATTGTTTACAATCGTTATGAGTCTATCAATTGGTGAATAGAATTTTATTATAAACAATTGTCTCGTAAATGGAATTTTTAAAGCATTCTGAATGTAAATAAAAAAAAAGTGTGCAAGACAATAAGAAAATACTACCTGCCGAAAAAAAAAAAAA